GACCAGGTTAGGCGCTGTGTCTGGTGTTGTGGTTTTAACAGAGGCACTCTGGTTGGTCTTCTGCTCCCATATTCCATGGAAGCTAAAGAACGCTGCACTGACCTGCTGGATATGTGTGGTACCTCCTGCATTGAATGTGGATGTAATTTCAGTCAGTGTCGCTTGTCTGTTACCATGGACAATTCTAGCTAGACGCTGCTGGTCACGATCATTAAGCACCCGTGGACGGTCACTGCCCTGTCCACGGTGGGTGGAAATGCTTTCCATAAGGTATTCTCGTTACACACGTGACACTGTGGATCGAGGAATGTTAAATGACCGCACAACTTCGGAAATGGAATGTCCCATCCGCCTGGCACCCACTATCATGCCCCGTTCAAACTCGATAATTCACATCAGCTTGCCACGAGCAGACTGACCGGTGTTCAACCTGACTCACGAGAGAACACCTCACAACTGATACTGCTCTGGGCACTCCCAAGCCTTCAAGGGATGGTGGCGCCACTTGAAAATAAATTGACATACTGCTATCCCATGACTTTTGGCACTTGAGTGTATATATTGTAACATGTTTTGTTACTGAAGATGCCATAGAGATTGTTCATTGGTTTATTTAACAACCTACAAATCTCGGCTACAATTAATTATAACAATATTGCGGGGTTTCACAATTTATAACCCTATTCGCAAATCAAATCACGCTATTGTCAGTAGACTACACGTTTCCCAGTACGGGAGCTATACAAGTGTCACTGTATTACACACTCCCAATTAATTCTCAGTTATCACAAACTGTCACTGATTATCACACTTTTACTCGTTCACGGCTGACTGGAGAACTGTCTTCGGCCGCTGGTACACTTTAACTATCTCCGACAACAGCTATATTTCAACTCCACACGTAGGCTGCTGCCTTGAGAACTGTTGATCACACACTCGCTCGACTACTACTGAACTCGGCGACTGCCACATTACAACTAACTCACAGGCAGCGCAACTCTCTTATATAGTGGCTGTGTATGCCTGTTACGTAGCAACGCTGTTACGTCACCGTGCGAAGGGAGGATGACGGAGTGCTGACTCAGCCGCCATGTCACTGCTGGTGGGGGGGGGTTCTCAATTGCGCAACATGTCACAATATATATATTGTCGGGGGCACGCGGGAGCGTAGTTGGTTGAGGGGCTATGCTACAAGCCGGAAGGTCGCGGGTTCAAGTCCCGATGAGGTCATTGGATTTTTTCAGTTGACCTAATCTTGACCTAATCTTTCCGGCCGCACTAGGCCCTGGGGTTTACTGAGCCTCTAACAGAAATGTTCACAAAACAAAGCTGGGCTATATTTGGCTGACCAGGTCATAAACAGTCATATCTAACGTAAATAGTATCGAAACCAGTACCGTGATAAACGATTTCATTGTTCAGAGCTAAGGAATGAACCACTGACATGACCTCACATAGGTTTGTTTTGGTTTCAAACCCAAGGTCAAACTGTCAATACTCCCAAAGAGAGCATGTGTCCTGCCGCATATATACTATATATAACATTCAGCCAACTTGGGGTGCTGCTTGCTGCATACTATACAGGGTGTTTCACGACTTTAGGGCATAACTGCAGGAGGTGATTTCCTAGGTCTTTGTGATCAAAAAAGTTCATATAAACATGTGTGCGATTTTGGACGGTTACGGAGTTATGACTGTTTTAAACTCAGAATAGAAGGTAACGATTACTGACAATAAACAGAACAAAATAATAAACTAGCATAATACATGATACAGTTAAAGTATGAATGTAAAGTTAACTTTGTGAAATTACCTTTAATTTGAATTGATTGGTGCTTAAAGCTGATGTTCGAAAATGCCACCGCCAGCCGCAATACAGTCTGCCGCTCGGTTGTGAACCGCGCAGGTAGCACGTAGCAGCTTCAGCTGGCTGTTTCTTATGTGGTCAGCAGCGTCCAGAATGTGACCGAGCAAAGCATCTTGCGTTGCCACCTTCACATTGTAAACCAGTTCTTTCATCCATCCCCACACACAATAATCCAGTGGGCTTAAGTTTGGAGACCTGACTGGAAATTCTTCGTGTACTCATACGTGGACTGCGGTGTACCATATGAATAATGCCTTCATGAACACCACGCTTGGCTGCAATACGAATGCCGGGAAGTCTACCGGTATCTCGCAATGCCTGGTAAACTCCAGTAAACACTCTCCAGTTCGGTACTGTGCGATTCGGAAACCATTGCTTTTATTCAGCTACGGCAAGAACTGAATTACCGTCACAAAACGCGTACATATAAATCATATCTGCATACTCCTCAAATGAAAGTGTAAATGGCATCGTGAATGTAACAGACCCACCAAGATAAGAACTGTTCTGAACACCAGTAGCCGCCGCACTAGCCGTGGCCTCACATACCAACCCACCACGCCGTAGGTACCTCTCAAGTGTCGAGATAACGAGAACGCTCTGTCTATAGCTGGTCAAAAATAGCGACCTGCCAGTTGATAGACGCGTTCACACATGGGCATGTACGGGAATGAAAAAAACTGTCATAACTCCGTAACCAACCAAATTCGGACACATGTTTATATGAACTCTTTTGATCACAAAGACCTAGGAAATCACCTCCTGCAGTTATGCCCAAAATTCGTGAAACACCCTGTGTGTATATATATATATATATATAACATTCGGATGTTAAAGGATAATTAGATGTCTGTCTGCATAATTTTATTTAATTTGGAATTCGTTAAACAGTGGCAGTGCAGCTTAACTTCTGTTGAATCAGAAACCTCCAATCATGCTCATGGACTCAGGCACACACCATACAAGGGAGGTGTGCTCTCTCTGTCACCACTCTCATGCCTACTGATATAACACTTTGTGGACTGGCAATTTAAATATTTAAATCACCCTGCGGATCGGCATTTTTATACCGACTACCCTAACTTGTGCAGTGTTCACTTTAAAAATTAATATAAAATCTCCTAATTAATTTTATGAACTAAATTTTTTTGAGAACACTTACCAATGCTTCTAGAAGTGCTTGAGGATGTGATATTTCTCGAAACATTCCCCTCTGTGAAGTGGCATTACACAAAACTTGCAAATGTGAGCAGTCCTACTCCTTTTCTTGTGAATTGCGCAAACACGGCATTGCCTAGAAGGCTGCGACTGTCTGCCACCACTGTGTGGTCTGTAGCCCAGGCTTTTGCCACATTGAGCAGAAATGCCTTGTATTTCAATTTTGAATGAGGGTTTAGATTTTTGAAAACCAAAAATGAATTGAAAATGGCACAATTTATAAGCCACAAGGCAAGTTTCTTTGTCCACTTTATGGTTTTCCGAGGAAGAGAATAATAGGTCAAGTACTTATCGGCTCTATCAACTCCCTTCATGAACATATTATACTCGGAAATACAAACAGGCTGCTTTACCTATCCATGTCTCCTTCGAACATCAACCATTCTCGAATTGTGAATTGTGGAAATCATATTCACAACACGAGTATCCTTCCAGGACTGAAGAAGAATATCCCCCTTCCTCCTGAATGTGGTTTCACCGCGTTTCAGAGATTTACATTCCTCTTTCAGATCTGGAGGAAGGCCTCTGTTTACCCTAATTGTTCCACAAACACGTACTTTTCTTGAAAATAGGTGTTCTGCAGTTGCCACAGTTATAATAATTGTCTTGATTTACATGGTAATTTTGATCAAGATAGGGTTCCAAAACAGAAAGAATAGTTTCTTGTAATTTCTTTCCTTCACCAGAATAAATTTATAAATTTCCAATATAGCCTGAAGTGCTTTCAGTAACTACACAAACAAGTAGGCCATACTTTGTAAGTTTCCCAGGATTATATCTTCGCATACGAAGCCTTCCCCTCCAAGGAATCACAGATTCGTCCAAAGACAGTTGTTGGCTTGGCTTATGAACTGTCTGAAATTTCTGAACGAAGAAGTTCAATAAGGGCTGAATTTTGAAAAGCCTGCTTGTTGACTGTGGTTGCAGTTCATTATCATTGAAATGGAAACACCACCAGATTTGCTCAAATCTCTTACGGCTCATTAGTTTGCCGAAAATTTGAATTTCTAAAAATGGATCTGTTGACCAGTACTCTTTCAGATTATCCCTCCTTGTATGGCCCATTAGAAAGATAATTGCAAAAAATTTTCTCATTTCTGCTGAAGTGACATCCACCCACTTCAACGCCTTATAACTTCTGTCATAATGTTCACGGTGTTGGAGATAGTATCTGTTGTTTTCATGACATAGCATGTCAAACAAACTATCTCCAAAAAACAGTTCCGCTACTTCAGACACTTGCGTTGGGTCAAATGAAATTTGGTTCACCCCTGGATTTCCAGTAAACTGTCCCAAAGCAGGCATTTTGTCTACTTTTCCCCATGTGGCTGGCCCCGTAATGTTGCTACCCGCACATTTGTCGGAGCTACAGTCACTTTCACTTTCACTGTCTGTGATCACAATTATTTGTTTGCCCTTGCCACACTCACTATCAGATTGTGAGTTGCTATCACTAGCAGATTCACAAGGGACGTCAGATAGCTCATTGGAGAAGAAGTAAGATATTTCATGTTCTCCAAGAAATCACTTCGGTGTCAACCACTTTGGTCTTTGATCCATATTGAACTACTGACTAACAGCTTGCTATGTAAAGCTTGAAGGAATAAAGGCATTTATTTTCCTTTGCAGGGGCATAGAGTTACAGTGAGGTCTAGTAACTGATTGGTCAGCAGACATTCCAGAGCCTTATCACGCAGCTGCAAGCAGCTACGTGCTAGCTAGGTGGAGCCAGAGAGATGTATAGTGTGTTGCAACTTATCGTGTTTTAAAAACCTGTTAACGCACGAATGGCTAAAAGCGAAAAACATTTAAAGGGTGCGCGGTCCGCAAAGTGTTGACATCTCACTGTACTGGGGCTTCAAACTTATTTCTCTTCCTATTAGGATTTTTCATGTTATTTACTCTCATTTTCCAGGGTAATTTGAATGAACTTCAACCCATGCATGGTGAGGATCGACACTATTCCTGTGATGAGTGTGGTGAATCATTCAGTCGGCAGAGTCATCAGAAGACACATCAGCACATACATAGTGGGGAGCAGCCGTTTTGTTGTGATGTATGAAAAAAGTCATTCAGTACGCAGAGTCATCTGAAGACACATCAGCGCATACATAGTGGGGAGAAGTTGTTTTGTTGTGATGTATGTAAAAAGTCATTCAGTTGGCAGGGTACTCTGAAGACACGTCAGCATATACATAGTGAGAAGCAGCCATTTTGTTGTTATGTATGTAAAAATTCTTTCAGCGATAAAAGTGCTCTGAAGACACATCGGTCTATACATAGTGGAGAGAAGCCGTTTTGTTGTGATGTATGTAAAAAGTCTTTCAGTCAGCAGATCCAACTGAAGACACATCAGCGTATACATAGTGGGGAGCAGCCATTTTGTTGTGATGTATGTAAAAAGTCATTCAGTACTCAGAGTAATCTGAAGACACATCAGCGCATACATAGTGGGGAGAAGCCATTTTGTTGTGATGTATGTAAAAAGTCATTCAGTCAGCAGATTCATCTGAAGACACATCATCGCATACATAGTGGGGAGAAGCCGTTTTGTTGTGATGTATGTAAAAAGTCATTCCGTACGCAGAGTCATCTGAAGACACATCAGCGCATACATAGTGGGGAGAAGCCGTTTTGTTGTGATGTATGTAAAAAGTCATTCAGTTGGCAGAGTACACTGAAGACACATCAGCGTATACATAGTGGAAAGCAGCCATTTTGTTGTTATGTATGTAAAAAGTCTTTCAGCAATAAAAGTACTCTGAAGACACATCGGTCTATACATAGTGGAGAGAAGCCATTTTGTTGTGATGTATGTAAAAAGTGCTTCAGTCAGCAGATCCAACTGAAGACACATCAGCGTATACATAGTGGGGAGAAGCCATTTTGTTGTGATGTATGTAAAAAGTCATTCAGTACTCATAGTAATCTGAAGACACATCAGCGCATACATAGTGGGGAGAAGCCATTTTGTTGTGATGTATGTAAAAAGTCATTCAGTCAGCAGATTCATCTGAAGACACATCATCGCATACATAGTGGGGAGAAGCCGTTTTGTTGTGATGTATGTAAAAAGTCATTCCGTACGCAGAGTCATCTGAAGACACATCAGCGCATACATAGTGGGGAGAAGCCGTTTTGTTGTGATGTATGTAAAAAGTCATTCAGTTGGCAGAGTACACTGAAGACACATCAGCGTATACATAGTGGATAGAAGCCATTTTGTTGTGATGTATGTAAAAAGTCATTCAGTCAGCAGATTCATCTGAAGACACATCTGCGCATACATATTGATGTATGGAGTAAATCATAGAGCAGTAGAGATGGGTTTAGACTACAGGAACAGTAAGTGACTTGTAGCATGCCACAGTTTCTCATGTTGTAAATAAGACAGTTTTGCTGTGTGTAGCATGGTTCAGTTTTATAGACTGCTAAAATATATTGGAGTTGATTATTGTCACTAACCATTCTATCTGATGGGAAATGAACTGAGAGTCATGGTACAAAACATCTTTGCAAATGCGTTCCATTTTTTTCTGATTTCTGAATTTGTGCAGTGCCCTGTCTTGTTGAGTGGAAGCAGACATGACATGTCATGTCATGAGATTCTCCTGCATTTATGATGTTAATTCAGGACTGGAAGCTAATGATTAGTAGAATGTATCACTGAAATGGATCGACAGCTTATAAACATAATTCAGCAGTATTATATGTTTTTTGCTGTGAGCTATCTGTGCTGTTCTGCCATTTCATGTGGGTAAATTCGTTGATCAGTTAGTTTCAGATTTATATATTGCTTGGATTGAGTATATTGTGATAACTGTTATGGATTGGTCAGATGAATACAAACTATGCTATATTGTACATTGCAAACGAGACATCTGTTTGCGGGACACTTGGTATATTACTTATAAAAAGAATGTTAAATGAAGGTGGGTCGATTCTGCTTGTGGAGAAATAAAGTAGTATAGAGAATTTAATTGAAAGGATCAAGAAAGACTTGCTTACATCTTTTCATTGTGAATATCAGCAGAGAAACTGAGCAGTCTGTCATGAGATCAGAAGAGAAAGTGGTTTGGCACTGAGGCACTCCTTTTTGCTTTAGGTCTCCTTTGCCTTAGAGGGATAGAGTCAACTGAAAATTGTGAAGTAAGTTTCAGTGTAATTATATAATTCTTTAAGAAAATTAGGCAGTGTCATTAATATTATTAATTGGAATTCAGAGGTTTCATGTAGTGGACTGACACAAGAGGGAATAGCTTTTGATTGTACTTAAATTCAGTGCAGTTATGCCCCTCCCTCCATACCTGTTTTTTCACTGCCTGAATGAAGTGTATCATAACTGAATTTAATTCTTGGTCACCCTGAGCAAGTGATCTGATTACTGACACTTTTCTTGCCAAGGAATGCTTTCTTAATTTTGCATAAGACGTACCATACATTCTGTTCCTCATGTGTCACCACACGTTGGCTGTCACTGCATCACCAGAACTGATCCTGCTGCATGGTCCTGGAATATGTGTTCCATTTTGTGTCTCTTCGCCATATAAAGTAGTGGGCAGCGCACGAATGGATTTGCAAGTTGCAGTTGTCCTCAGAAAAATGTGAAGGTAGGCTGATGCTGTGTATTCTGTATGCTTAAAGAAGGGAATATGGAGTGAAATCATCTGGCTCAGGATAGGGGCCAGTGTCTGGCTGTGAATGGTAGTGAACCCTTGCATTCCATAACATGTTGGTAATTCACCGAGTAACTGAGCAAACAGTAGCTTCTCTGGAAATGTGCAGCTGTGTGAAGTTGGTTAATATTTGGCATTAGAAATTCTAGATTGATTGTCTGGAACTGGAATTTGTTGTTGACCCCATCCTGCTGAAGCAACCTAAATGTGTCTCTGATGGTCAGTAAGTCTGGGTTCCCCTGTTATATACATTGGGATAGTACATTATGCTATGTATATATACACGAGGACAGTGACTCACATGCAGCCAGTCAGTTTATAAAACCCTGTATTCCCACCAGACTGTAGCAAAGCTTATCTTCTTCAAAGAAATGTATTTTTGCAGTATGTGTTTTCAGTTTAATTACTGCTACATAAGTAACTCCAGGGAGCTGAGTTAGATCTCATTAATGGAAATTGTTATTTTAGAGACCTCACATCCCGCTAGTTGCAGAAACTGTTTTAATGTATATACATTATACGTCACATTGTGAACCCATGCTGTGCACAGTGAAACAGCCGCTTGGTGTAGCTGATGCAGCAGAGGGACTGACATGCAGAGCCATGCGGAAAAGATGGATGAAGAGAAAATAACAGTACAGACCTTGGGGAATAAGAAATATGAAAGAGGAAGATGGGCAGAATAACAAAGAGACTCTGAACGTGACATAGAAGCCTGTACCTTTACTGGAGAAGAAGAAAAAAATATTTCTGACTTATGCTTCATTCACCAAAATTCAGAATTTAAAATTGGTATTGCATATCACTAAGAATCACTTGCTGGGTTTTTGGATTCTATTCATTGTCTGGCGTTCAAGAATCAAGAGAATGTACCATTTCAGGAACTGGGTCTGTTTCGGTCCTCTCTTGAGGGTGGGGTGGGGGTGGGGGCACAACTACTCTGCTGGGTCCATTAGAAAGAGCTCTTTCTAGCAGGTCAATGGACAAAGTCCAAAAATCCAGCGATTCCAGAAACCTTTAGAATCTACAGGTATCCTACAAATGTGTGTGTTCTTGCGAGCATGTGTTATTTAGAGTTTATTTTACAAAGGTCTAAGTATTTTAGGCTATGTAGCATTGGTTGGAATAATGCTTGATAAGTGGTGAACTTGGAACGATTTGAAACAAAACAGTTGTGACATTTTACCCTGCAGCAACTAAAGAATAAACAGGAAAGGGTCAGTCGGTACAGCCAGTCCCCCCCCAGACAATCGAATAGAGCACCTCCTGGATACTAAACTAAACTGGATAAATTGTTTCATGTCTGTTATGCTCATTGTTGAACTGGATGAGGAAGCTTGGCTGTGTCACATATGTATTGAATTGAACTGAATTGAATTTATTTGCATTCCATAGACCCTAAGTAGGTTAATACCTCTGGATATGGAACAAGTCAAAATAATACCTACTGGTTCAAGTAATTTTATCTTAAACTAATATAGCTTAATTCTACATTATTCTCTATTTACATTGAGGTATTCGTCTACAGAGTAGAAGGAATGAGCATGCAGATATTTCTTAGGTCTGATTTGAAATGTTTAGTATCATTACTCAAGTTTTTGATACTTTATGGGAGACTATTGTACACTTTTATGCCAGAAAGTAGACTGTTTTTTGATATAGTGATAAGTTTGATGAAGGTAGATGGAAGTTATATTTTTGTCTAGTATTCATGTTATGGATATTGAAATTTAATTCAAATTTATTTTTGTTGTACACAACAATAAGAGAAGCGATAGTATGTATTGTCATTGAAGGAGTAGAATTTTTAATTTCTTAAATAAATCTCTACATGAATCTCTACTTCTACATCCTGTAATGATTCTAATTATATTCTTTTGTATCTTAAAAATTTTTACACTGTGTGAAGAGTTCCCCGGAATATTAATCTATAGTTCATAATAGAATGAAAGTAGGCATGGTAAACCATCTTCAGTGTTTCCTGTGGCATAAAGGGCATCAGGTACTTTTCCTCAACGCTTAAAATACGCTATAATGAAACCACTTTTTAAAAAAGGAGAGAGAAAATGCATCTCTAATTACAGACCAATATCCATATTGACTTCATTCTCAAAAGTCTTTGAAAAAGTTATGTATAATAGACTACTTGAACACTTAAATTCTAACAACATATTAGTCAAAGAGCAATTTGGATTTAGGAAAGACCTAACAACAGAAAAAGCAACCTATGAACTAACTAACGATATTTTAAGTGCTCTCAATGACAGATTAATTGTGGGAGGGATTTTCTGTGATCTAGCAAAAGCTTTCGATTGTGTTAATCATGATATCTTA